AGTTGACATCCAGTCTAGACAGTGGTGCAGCTGAATGACTGCAGTGTTACAAATAGAATTATATATAACTCAGATAAAAATCCCATTTTCTAAACATCTCGATATCAACCCAGCTGGCAGCACTTCTTCTGAAGCAGCTAAAACTGTCAAACATTTATCACTTTTCCTTTGGCTTTAAACAGTGACATCTTCAGAGTAACTGCTCTATCCTGACATCTATCAAAGCCCCATTTCCACTGTTCAAAAACAATGACATTTGTCCACATACTAGGGGTGGGTTCATACAACTTTATTATGTCCAGTACCAGTATTAAATCCCAGAGTATCTGGGTGTCTGCAGTATCTGTATATACAGGTACCAATCTGATACCATATTTTCTCCTCTCCTACTCTAAGCTGTTTATAATGCTCGTACTTTTTGTGAATATATTCTGCCTAATATAGGGTCCTCTGTTAGATTTAACATGTAATAATCATGAATATGCAAATGCATTTTCAAACCTGGCACAGAGTTTAGACTTTTACCCTGAGTGAGAATGAGGTAACACCGGGTCTTGAATGACTGTACTCAGGGACAATGCAGCTATTTTTTTATAATCATAATTGAATGCAAAATCCAAAGATGTTCTCTGAATGGATTATTTTATTAAAACACTATTGACCTCAGTTTTAACTCCCACCTGAATCGTCTCAGTGCCTTTCCCATCAGGTTAGCACAGGTTGACCTGCTGATTTCAGTGGTTCAACATGTGTAAACAGTAATCAGTTCAGTTTTAAAATGCACAGAAACACCACAACCAGATGAAGAGGGCAAACAGTCTTACTGCATGTCAGTTGATTTAATGCTGTTTGTAGAGCCACTGCAAATATTCAACATTGGAAAAAATGTTGTTAGAATACTAACCTACAGTAAGACTGTCACTGGTCACTGATTCAGGCCCCAGATGATCTTTCTGTATGTAGTTTGCGTGTGGAGGGGCGGGAAGTGGGAGTTCTCCATGTATCCTAGTCTCTCCCCAGCCTAATATCATGCCAATGAGGTGATTAGGTTAATTAGACACTCTAAATTGACCACAACTGGAAATGGTTTTTGTCTTCATATCTGGCCCTAGAGTACAAACTGCCCAGGGTGTACCCCTCTTTTGCCGGTGATAGCTGGAAATGGCTCCAGTGGCCCCCTGGAACCCTCTGATGTATTCAGTTGTAGATAATAGATGGTATGAATAGTTTCAATTTAGTGACAATTTACCAGTACTCGGTGTGAAACCTTGGCCTGTTTAGTTGAACACAAGCTTGATATACCTGCTAGATTTGAAGAAAGATGCACAAAGGAACAGCTTTTTTAATAGCTCTAAGTCATTTTTTGTGTATTTATTATTTATAACCATTTTCTGCCACCTAGTAGACAAGTATATAAGTGATTTTGCTCATAGACAATTAAGACACATTTTGAGCAGTGAATAAATAGTTTGAAGACCAATTCAGTGAAATTGGATAATTTTTTTACAATACAGCTTGTGATCTGTTGGCACATTAATGTGCCATGGCACAGTGATTGAGAATCGCTGGTGTAGGCCGTTGCATTCCCCGTTTTTTGATGAAGGCATCACTGTTGCACAGCCCCTGGTTGTTTAGTTAAGCTAGCCTGAGTTTGTCAGATGGCACAGACCTGCTATTTGCAGTGTTGTTACAAGGAGCTGCAGGTCAGCTTTGACTGTAACTTGATATCAACTCCAGGGACTTAGTTTGACACCTCTGGTTTGACCTCTTAGTAAACCCCCCCCTGCTGGGAAAACGTATATTTATATGTATAATTATGTTTAATGTGTTTAATATTCTGTAGTTCTAATATGCATGTATCTGTATTTATCACAACATCTTCCCGTAGCTTTTTGGGATAAAAACAAATCAAACATTTTATTAATTTCATTTTAAAATGATTAGAAAATGTTTTATTTTCTTAAAAATCATTTTTCTCAGGGACAATCATTACCTGATTGATGACCTTTCCCTCTGCACTCCCACACTCCCTCTCCCTCCCTCTGTCTACTTAAACAATCTTTGTATGTTTATGACATGTTGAACCATTTTAGACTTCTTACAGAGAGAATGGAACGATGTTGACAAATACTGTTTTATTCCTGCAGGAATTATGCACAACACTAACAACTGTTTACTGTAATATTTAAGCAATTGTTTCAACAACCTTGATAGGTGTAGTTTGACAGTACGACTGAAAGTGTTCAGCATTAAAAGTGTTACTTGATGCAAATGTGCCTTATGCAGTAATGTAATGTTTATATAAAACAGCAATTGCAGTTTTGTACTTGTATAGTTATGTTTTTACATATTTGAATATCACCAAAGACTCTATATAAGAAATGGGACATAGCAGTGGAATTGGACAGTTGGAGATAGAAGTACTAAAGTTAGCATGGGGACTTCTTATTCTATAACATTGGCTAACATGTTTATGGTACCAGTTACTAATTGCGCAATTTTTTTGAATTAAACATGTGAAATGTAATAATACTTGCCTGCTAGACATGCCTCTCAGTGAAGCACATTTGAAGACATCAAATAGTGTTGTGTAACATGTATTATTTAGACAAACATACTTTAGTACTTTAATGGCTATGTACACTTCTTATATACTGTAGGGTCTAGGATATGAGACAGAGTCCCATACATACAAGTCTTGCATGTTCAATGTTTTTCTATTCGTGCTTCCATGGGGTACACTTTTAAATAAACAACATTTCGTAATCATCCAACTATTCATTTTCGTTTCTATTCAGCTAATGTGCAGTGCGATAGTTTTGCCAGTAGATGGTAGAAAATCGTCATTTACTCTACCGCAGGTGTCTATCGGATTGTTAGAAAGAGCGTTGCTACAGAAAATGCTGCGTAAACGTCGATGGTTTTGTTAAGTCGAACATCGAATATGAGAAAGTGAAGGGCGTTGTTGTTGTTGGATTCATATTTCTAGTTTATTTTCTTCAATCCAGTGGTCGTTGTTTAAATATTAATATCAACGCCACAAATATTGATTTGTTACGTGGTGGGTTTCTTGTGCGTTAAAGGTATCGAAACAAGGGTTTGAGTCTAAACCTGCTCTTCCTCCACATAATGATGTGTGTTTTTTAGGAGAAAAAGTTTTACCTTGAAACTGTAGGAATTCCCTATCTTGTGGCAAAGACTTTAAAAGTATTATCTACTGCATATGGATGAAAATCCATATACAAAAGCAGGCGACTGATTTCTTGAATTGAACATTTTTTTTAATACTATAATCTTAAGTTTGTAGTTGAATGTTTTCTTCAGCAGAACGTATTAAATAACTGTAGCGGAGCGATTCGCAGACAGACAGTGGAGCTTTCTGTCTTACGTGCTGTACAATGCACGATTTCTGTGTTTTTGTCCATTGCAGCCTTCAGCTCCCTTCCTCCGAGCCAGTAGTATTGACTTTTGAGAAAATCATTGAAAATATGTCCTTTTGAATCCACGAAAACTGTTACCCAAGGTCTGGCTGTTTCTCTTGGAATCAATTGTTTCTATTCAACTTTGTTTTCAAGATCATGTTGGTAAATGTGTCATCTCAAGTTCACATTTGGTTGTGTGCAGTGGTGTGCTGTGTCACAATTACAAGGAAACTTTCATTTCCTTTTTTTTTTTTCCCCTGTACTCCCTGACATCTAATGCTAAAGTCCATTCTTACACAATGTGAAAACATAAGAATCCTCCCCATTGTTTTCTTGAACTTTTTTTTTTTTGGAGCCCATCGGTTCAAAAAAGTGTAACTTTTCCTTTACTGAAACCTCCAAAGGCGGGGCGACTACGAATTGAAATAGGCGGCAGCTGTGTGGCATGGCAAGGTCAGAAGCCCCTAATCCGTGGCCTCGTTCATGCGAGATTAAAAACCTGCTCCGAGTTCTCATCAAGAACACAGGGTTAGAAGATTAAAGACCAGCAAACAAAATGAAAGCTGTTTAAGCCCAATCCTGGAATTCATCAGAACACCAAAACCCTCAAACTGTCATTACATCATGAGATTAATGCAAAGGCTGCTACAACTCTATGTCTGGATTGGTGTGTCTTTTGTGTCGGCCTTTATGTGAGCCTGAGCCTTTGTTTTTTGTTGGGTTTTTTTTTTTGGTTTTTTTGTTCTGTAATCAATATTATTTTCTTTGAATATCACATCCAAACACAAACATTAGTAAGGGTTTTCTTTTCATAACAAACACTGTAACTGCTAGTTTATTTTAATTTGTATTAATTATTAGGAGTTGAGGTTTGTCTCCCACACACAGTACCACACAAAATGGTAAACGCCTGCAAACCAACTTGGCTATTTTATTTCTTATTTTATCTCTGAACTATTGTTGCTGTAACACAGTAGATAAACCTGTTGTTATTTACACACCAT